TAAGCCTGACCTATTGGGCCAATCAGTTTATAATCTTATGGAGTCTTGTGTGTGATTTTCTTTGTTGCTTGCCAGCTGTTGGGGTATTTGGAGGGATGGAAACCCCAACAAGCTGGCCCCCTCATGTTACAGCTTTGTAGTATTCCATTGTGTAAATGTACCATATTTCCCTTATCCATTCTTTGATCGAGGAGCATTTAGTTGTTTCCAGGTTCTGGCTATGACAAACAATGCTGCTATGAACATAGTTGAGCATATGTCTTGGTGGCATGATTGAGCATCCTTTGGGTATATACCCAGAAGTGGCATTGCTGGGCCTTGAGGAAGGTTGTTTCCTAATTTTCTGAGAAATCACCATACTGATAACCAAAGGGGTTGTACCAGCTTGCACTCCCACCAGCAATGCAGAAGTGTTCCCTTTACCCCATAACCTCTCCAGCATAAGTTGTCATCAGTGTTTTTGATCTTGGCCATTCTTACAGGTGTAAAATGGAATCTCAGAGGTGTTTGGATTTGCATTTCTCTGATGACTAAGGATGTTGAACATTTCCTTAAGTGTCTTTCAGCCATTTTAGATTCCTCTGTTGAGAGTTCTCTGTTTATGTCTATACTCCACTTTTTTTATTGGATTATGTGTTCTTTTGATGACCATTTTCTTGAGTTCTTTGTATATTTTGGAGATCAGACGTCTGTCTGATGTAGGGTTGGTGAAGATCTTTTCCCATTCTGTAGGCTGTCATTTTGTCTTGTTGACCATGTCCTTTGCTTTACAGAAGCTTTTCAGTTTCAGGAGGTTCCTTTTATTGTTTCTCTCAGTGTCTGTGCTACTGGGGTTATATTTAGGAAGTGGTCTCCTGTGCCAATGCATTCAAGTGTATTTCCCACTTTCTCTTCTATGAAGTTCAGTGTGGCTGGTTTTATGTTGAGAAATTTGATCCATTTGGACTTGAGTTTTGTGCATGGTGATAAATATGGATCTATTTTCATTCTTCTACATGTTGATATCCAGTTATGCCAGCACCATTTGTTAAATATGTTTTCTTTTTCCATTTTATATTTTTTGCTTCTTTGTCAAAAATCAGGTGTTCGAAGATGTGTGGATTGATATCCGGGTCTTCTATTCGGTTCCATTGGTCCTCCTGTCTGTTCTTATGCCAATACCAGGCTGTTTTCAGTGCTGTAGCTCTGTAGCAGACTTTGAAGTCAGGGATTGTGATGCCTCCAGAAGTTCTTTTATTGTACAGGGTTGTTTTGGCTATCCTGGGTTATTTGCTTTTCCATATGATGTTGAGTAGCCTTCTTTCGAGGTCTGTGAAGAATTTTGCTGGGATTTTGATGGGCATTGCGTTGAATTTGTAGATTGCTTTTGGTAGTTTTGACATTTTTTAAGTCTTAGCATCACCACCGAGACAAAGGCTGTTTGCTCTGCTCTGCTGAAGGAACACAATGCCGAAGTGTAGAATGAGGGCATGAGAAAAAATGTCATTGGAAATAGGGACAATGGGGAGAAGTATGAAATGATACAGAATACTGAAGTGCTTGAATCAAGAGCAAAATTAAAACCCACGTATGTAAACATTTCTGTTTGCTTAATGTATGCAAAAGGAAATATTTCTCAAGTGAATTTGGTCTGTAAGACATATTTTAAGGCAAATGTAACCAAATTGCATAAACATCACCTTCCTCGGATTTTAGACCCAGGACTAGGAAAACCACACACACACACACGCACACACACACAGAGTATGTATTATATATAATACATTATACATTATATAATATGTATATTATATATAATTATATATTACACATATAATGTGTATACATATATGTATGTATATGTACATATGTGTGTATATGTGTGCATGCTTATGGATATTAACATGCTTAGGGCCCTGGATTTGATCTTCTCTAGCTTTGGGGGTGGATGTAGATTAAAGCCTTTTAGAGAAATATCAGTAACGACAACAAAAGTGAAAAGTAACAGTGCCGTGTCCAGAAACAGCATTCTGGATGAGCTTTCCTAGTCAGAAGATAGGATTGTTGACAGCATTCTCTCCCCTGAGCTTTGCAGACACTTAAGGTAAATTTCAAATGACTCTTTTAAGGAAATTGTAATTTTTGTTTGTCTCTCAATTTCACTTTTCTTCAGACTTAGTTTTCAAGGAGACAAACTTTGGCGAAAATCTCTAGGTCCCCTCTACCTACTCTCCCCCACCACGTGCACCCTCCAGACTGTGTTTCAGGGGTGTCCTCTCCTTTTGTGTCACTCAGATGTTGGATCAGACCACACATACCTCTACCAATTGTCTGGACAGTGCCCCCTGACAGGATGTGGCTGCCTTGGGCTCAGACCAAGGGGGAACATGAAACCAGTATTCTTGGCTCCCAGCTCCTCCTGTGGTGGAAACGCGAGGCTGTGTGGGAGAAGCAGATTTTTCCAAAGAGTAGACTAAATACATGGACTTGCCAGGTGGGAGTGAGCTGGAGGTCCACTTGTATGTTAAAGTCAGTCCTGTTCAAAGGAGAATTAATAACCCAGAGACCTGAAGAGCTGGGTGGGTGGAAAGCTGGCTTTCGTCTGAGTGTAAGGTGGGCTCTGCTCCCCCAAACTGAGCTCCCAAGACCTCCCAGCCTGTGGGTATGCATCTGCATTTTCTTTTTTCCCCAATGCACAGCTTCCAAAAGCCAGGGGATAATTTTTAAAGGCTTTTAAGCAGAAATATATTTCTAAGTACAATGAAGACTGCTCAATTTTATGCTCATGGATAGTAATACACGTTCATTTCCTTCTACTTCCAGACAATAGTAATAGGCTCATGGGAACACAAGGAAAAGGTGTTATATAGGCCCTGAAGTTCTTTCGCCCACTAACAACACAAAAGGCCAGGCTGAAACTCTGAAGTGGGCACAGGCCTGCCCTGGGGCCTGGAATACTCGGACTGCCCCTCCCCCGAGACCAGTCCAAGGAGGTGGAGGCTTGAGGAAGGCTGATGGTCTTATCTAAGCAGAGGTCATTTTTCCAGGCATCTAGGGAATCCGAGGTTCAAGTCAAATACTTTCTGGAACAGATTTGGACTATGATATATGGACAAGCTGTGAACCACTCGTCATGTAACCAAAGCAGAATGGCTTCCGGGCCTCCCTTTCTGTGCCTCTCCAGGAAGGGCAACTTTGCCCTCCAGATTAAGACATAGTTAGGTGTCAGAGCTGGGTAAAATTGGAAGGATGCTTGAGATCTCTTGTGCTGCCCACTTTGCAACTTTTTAGTAATACATCCCGCATAACTTTTTACCGAAGTTTTGTAATTGTTCTTCCTGTCTCTTTCATTTTCCCCTCTATTTGTTTCCATTACTATCAGAGAAATTGAAACAAACCCAGCAACTTAAAACACCCATGTAGTGGTCATCAGTTCTGGAAGGCGAGAGCTCAGCTCAGTCGTGCATAACTGGTTTCTTGGCTTGGGGCTTCTCAAAAGTGAATCTGTGGCATTAGCCAGGCACAACTCTCTCTGGAAACTTTGAGAGAAAGTCAATTTCAGCTCATTCTTGCAGTCTGCTTTCTCACTGGTTGTTGGCTACGATTGCTCTTAGCACCTGTTCCAAGCGAGGTGCCCACCCCCGCCCCTAGTGATGAACCCATGGCACCCTGGATATTCCCCAGGAAGTACCCAGAACATGTGAAGAGGTCACTTCACCAGGCTCACAGAGGATCCTCTCTATCTCAAGTGCCTTACACGCATCTGCAGAATTGCAGACCAGCACCTAGATTAGCATCTGACAGGATAATTGGTGGGCATGTGTACACCCAGGGGGACAGAAATCTTAGGGGTCATTTAGGTTCTGTGTAGAGCTGTATGCTTTTTTTGAGGGCAAAGCCACGCCTCGTTCATCTTTGGTACCCAACAGATACTCCACAGTTACTGAACTAAACTAGTTTCAAGGAAGACAGGTGGAATCAGGAAATTGTTTTACACGGTCAAGTTCTAGACAAGCTAAGGAAAAGATCCAGACAGCTGTGCTGTGCAGGATGCCTTTGGGCTTCAGTTGACTAAGGGGAGCCAAGAGAAAGAAAAATTTCTGCCCCAGAAATGATCTAAGCAGATAACTGTGGAACAACACCTCTGAGCTTTCAGGAATAAGAGGTGCGTTTGCTGGACTTGGCTAGACTGGCCGTGGCCTACCACTCATGTTCACGGCCTCAGCTAGCAAGCCTCCTGGTTCAGAAGGCTCTCTTTAAAAACAACAACGGATGGACGTTTATAGCATGGATGCTATTTAATGTGTCCCTTCCAGAGTGTTCCAGCAAGGACTCTTGCACTTCCTGCAGTCCAGTGTGTCTCTTGAGCATCCAGAACAATCAACAGGTGTAGTCAATGGTCAGGTCGCGTGCTTTCCAGTGAGCTGGGGATCAGTGGTAGCGTGCCTGTATAGGAAAAGCACGACTCTGGGCTCAATCGTCAGGAACTCAAAATGCAAAACAATGCCCCAATTCCCCAAAATCAACAATCAAAACAATAGTTGGCCATTCTAGGACACTCAACATAAATTCAGACCGAATCATAGTAAAGGTATTTCTAAAAAGCACATCTTTGCGTGTAAGAGCAAACTTCCTCCCAAATCAGTCTAGAAAACACATTCAGGGTTCCTTGGAGGGCCGAATTTTGATTTCTGTAGATAGCAAAGCTGTTTTCCTAGGCTCTCGCAGCACTTCTATCAACCACCCTGGCAAGGGCCAGTCTGTCTATAGTTCTGGGAGCGACTCAGATTCTGGGGTAAGACTACTACACTAGCTCCACACCAAGGGTCCGGAGCCAGCTCCGCCCCACCCCGCCGCCACCTGCGGAGATGGGCGACCCGCCCACATCCTGACGTCACCGAACTCCGGGCAGCGCCGGGTCGGGCTCCGGGGATTGGTCAAGGCTCGTGACGTCACGGTCCCGGGGCGGCCCCGGGCTGGCGGGGCCCCCGGGTGCTTGGGTTCCTTTCAAGACTGGCGGCGGGGTGGGGGCGGGGCGGAGGCGGAGCGGGCGGTGTAAACAGACCCGGGAGCCGCGAGCCCCGGAGGAGGCGCGGGTGGCGCCGCCATGGACTTCCAGCAGCTGGCAGATGTCGCGGAGAAGTGGTGTTCCTGCACACCCTTCGAGCTCATCGCCGCCGAGGAGACCGAGCGCAGGATGGACTTCTATGCCGACCCGGGCGTATCCTTCTACGTGCTGTGTCCGGACAACGGCAGCGGCGACAGTTTTGTGAGTACTTGGAGAAGGCGATCTCCGCTGTGCCCTAGCTCCTCCAGGGAGGCTGGGTGGGGTGGAGTGGCAGCGCCAGGGCGTCCGGGGCCGCAGAGCCGAGGTGTGGCGACCTCCCGGACTACCCCGTGCTCGACGCGTGGATCAGAGCATCCCCAGGGAGTCCTTGTGTGACATCCGCCGGGCGGGGCACACAGCCCCTGCGTCTTAATCCGAGGTCCGGTCCAGGGAGCTGTTTTTACCCTTCGGGGTCTTAGACACAACTCTGCAGCCGCCCCTCCCCGGCAGGGTCCCCGCCCCAGGCTGCGAATCCCTCGGAAAGACACAAAGCCTCTGTCTACACCCGCAGTGCTAGATCTTTTGGACCCTATTTGCGGAATTACTCCCAGGAGCTTGAAAATGCACGCGCGTGCACACAAGCGCGAGCGCGCTCTCTCGGGGTGGGGGCACGCCTATTCCAGGTTCCACGCTTCCCTAGCTCCTCAGGAGCTCCCTAGCTGCCAGGGAGTGTGTGTTCCTTGTGCAGATTCTGGCCAGCCATGAGGCTTCTGTAACCCCACCGAGGCCTTTAGGCTTTTCCAGAGAAAGAACCTACACAACCCGGCCCAGAAGGATCAGGACCAGAAATTACGGTGACCAAATGTTCGGCCCGCATCCCGCCCACTAGGGATCCTGGCGCTTTCAGTTTAGCAAAGGGATGCAGAGAGCACGAGGTTGTGATGGGAGGCGTGGAAGCAGGGCGGGGATGGCACGCCATGGAATGTTCGTAAGCACTATAAATAATAGTCCCCAAATGTAAGATGGAGGCAGCTGGGAATGAGGGTTATCTTGTGGTCGCTGGCCTGAGGCTGGAGCAGGCGCTGCTGCTGCTGCTGCTGCTTCTGCGGAGGAAGATGGGCGGTGCACTGGCTTGGCTCATCAGGTGGAATGACAAAGCTGGACATGGACCCCAGGCCCGGCGCCCCATACTCATTCATGGGGAAGTTCAGCCTAAGATCCGTGAGAGCCTATCTCAAAATAAATATCTCACCTGTAGAACAGTTCACAGTGAAGACAGCGAGACCTTTCTCAAACCCAGATAGGACAAGCGTAGGCTGGGTTGCACACCTGGCCAATATGCTCCTGGCTTTGGGTGGCAGGTAAAATTGAGTTCTGTCCCTTTGTCTTGAGTCCCCTATCCACAAAACTGACTTCCTAATACCAGTTCTCTGGCGACCATTTAGGAACATCTAGCAGTCTGAGGCACAGCATGCGTCCTGCAAATTTAAAGTTCTGAGACCTGGTCTTCCCCACTCCCTTTGTTAAAACCCCTTGCCTGGGACTAAAGGATGTAGCTTGGTTGGTAGAGCTCTAGTGTAGCATGTGTATAGCCCTGGGTTGGACCCCCAGCACTGCAGAAGTGGGGGTGGGGTGTTTGTGGGGTGTAATCCCTACATTCTCTGTCAGCCTAGGATCCTGAGACCTCACCCCAAACAGTTTTCACAGTGGAGACAGATTAAATTATGGATTCGTGTAAGCAGGCATCAGCTGATTGGCTGACCATCTGGAGGAGGGGGGACGAGGAAGAGAGGATAACTCCTTGGACACGTTAGCACCGTCTCAAAGATTGTGGAGACCATGATCATCAAGTTGCCAACCACAGGTGTTTGCTTAGCCATATTGCTCCTCGAATCTTTGCCAGGTTGGGTGTGCTAAGCGCTTACCTCTTGGGCCTTGTCATTTTTCTCGGAAAATCTATTAGAGCATCCAAAGAAGTTTGAGTTAAGTGGTATCTCTGCTATCTGAAGATTTGGGTAACAGTAAGAATGTAACATAGCACCTCTCGATTTACAAGTTTTAGGTCATTGAAAAACTTGCAAACATTGATGAGGGCTTGAACTTTCCTGGGTCAGGGCTAGCCAACATACAAATGGCATTGTGCCCATCGGGACATTTAGCTCAGAAGTGATATAGCAGCCCTGATTCTGCTCAGGCATCCAAGCTCCCACCTCTGTGTGTGTGTGCTTGGAGACATCATTGAATCCCTCTCTGGCAGCTTAAAGATCTGTGACCCGTTACCGGACTTAAAGTGGCAGCCTGTTGTCAATGCCTGGTGGGGCTGCAGAAGAACATGTCTGGCTTGTGCTCAGCCCTCATATCTGGGAGCCTGTGTTATGGCAATCACTGTAAATGTTACTGCCATCCATATGATAGGTCCTAGCCCCAATTAAAAACCTCCTAACTTCCTCTTCCTCACTTCTGCGGTCCAGATCATCAGAGTTGCACCAGCATCGTGGGTAAGGCATGTGTGGTGCCCTCCATGACTGTGAAAGCACCCTAGCCATCTCCACCAGTGTCTCTCTAAAGTATCTAAAATACAATCTGGAGCTGGGCATAGTGGTGGTAAGCTCGGCATTCAGAAGGTGGGGGGATCTCAAGCCTTTACGTGACCTATCTCCTGACATTTTCTAAGTTCCTACTGCACGGGCACTTCCTGCCTCACCTGAGGATCCTGTCCTCAACTGCTGGGGTTATAAGTTTTTAAGTGGATGCTGGAGATCTGAACTCAGGTCCACATGCTTGTACCACAAGTATTTTACCCACTGAGCCAGCCTTTACCCATCTGCTCAGCCTTGAAAGATGACATCTTATTGGGCCTCACGAAAGTTCTATGCGGGAGATGTCATACCCATTTTGTAGGTGAGGAATATATCTGATAGCCCAGATCTCTGTGCCCTCGCTGAAGGTTGGCCCATGGTAGCTCCAGAGACCCAAAGACAAAGATTCTTTTGATTGCCACTCCTCTGGGCAGCTCACTGTTGTCTCCTCGCTTCACAGGCCACCTGCCAATGTAGCCCCTTTCCAAACTGCCCATCATGTCGGGAGTTGTGGCTTTGCAAGTGGCAGGAAGGCTGTGCCACCCAGGCAGAGGGGCGGGCACTCAGCAACTGGATGGCTGTTCCCTCTTCTGCCAACTCAGAAGGTCCTGGTGGCTATGAGGTCTGAGAAGGGAAATGTGGGCAGCCATTCAAGTACCAGGTGGACAGAATAGTGTCTGTGAGTGCATGCATGTATGTGTGCATGAACAGATATGCAGGTGTGTATCCAATGCGTTGCTCTCCTTCCTTGTCCGTTGAGGAGTGCCCTACCATTACCCAGACTAGAAATTGCTGATTGTGGGGAGGGCTCTGTTTACCTAATAGTTCCACCTTTTCTGACAACCCAGCAAAAACATATTTGCGTCCACATTTTTGTGCAGCTTTATCCACCCCCAAACCCACACAAAAACAATAGTCATATTCTTAAAGAAGCAATGCTCACAGAGGGACTCTGGCTAACTCTTCTATGTATGTTTACATAGTTCTAACTTGTGAGCGTGTCTCTGTGGTGTATTTAAATGGAGCTGCCTTGTGGTTTGGGGATGGTGTGAAGGAGGAAAACCTTCCCTCCACCTGCTCCTTTGGTTTCCCCACCCGCAGAGTGGGCTAATCATATGCTAAGCCATTCTTACTATGAGCACTGTACGGAGCATTGCCTTATTCCCAGAGGTTATTTCAAGGGAGAACAAAGCCACTGTATATTCAGCTAATAATGAAGAGGGTAAAGTCAGGGTGCTATGAGTCCAAATAATGGGGAACAAGAAGTTGCTGATTATCTGCTAAATGGTAGGCAGTTTGCAGGCAGACACCTGAGCTCATCAGACCCCCTCTGGGAATAACTTGTCTGTCACTTACCTGTGACTGAGCCAAAGGTCCCTTAAGCAGCTTGCCCAGAGGCAGTTGAGGGTATGCATGCAAGACCTCTGTGGGGGTGCTCCCTGCCTTCTGCTGTGTATGTAACCTCAGTTTCCTCCCTGACAGAATGTTCAGCACAATGAGCAGGCTGCCATAGTTATGGCTAACCATGCTCTTCCCACTGGGTGTGCTAGTACATTGGGTGCCACAAGGTGGCTTGTGGTTTTTCTGTTCTGTCTGCTCCACAGACAGACATCAGTTTAAGGTTAAGAGACACCAATTAAAAATAGAGCTAGAAGTGAGTTCCGGGACAGCCAAGACTGTTACACAGAGAAGTCCTGTCTCAAAGAACCAATAGTTCCCCCCCGCCCCAAAAAAAGAGCAAGAATAGCAGATACGCCTCACTTAGTTCTGATGGACCGTGGTTTTAGGACCTTGGTTTTAGGACCTTCTTTAGCTGCCCAAATCTGAGACTGCTCAGAGCTGTTGTGTGAAATGACATCTTTACACACACCCTACTCACATTTCCCTGTGAGGATGCTTAGGACGGTGGGACTGTGAATTAAGTACACATTGTTCTATATTGTTCAGGCTAATGCCAGACGAACATCGCATGTTCAGTACAGATGCTGTCTTTTCCTTCAAATGATTCCCATCCTGGTCAGGTCGCATGTGTGGCTCAGAACCTGTGACTGGGGGAGGGTGGTTACACCGCAATGAGAGAGGCACACGGCGCAGGCCACAGGTGCTCAGATAGAGTCAGGGGTGTGCTCCAAGCCCTCTTGAGCTCATCAGTTCATAGCAGAAAGTCTAGCAGCGTGCCCTTCAGGACAAGAAGAACTCAGCGGGGTTGAGTTGTCTTACTGATCTAATGTCACATTTTGATGACCAGATCTTGTCATCTCTATATAGAAAGTAGAACACGCTCCTTTCTTGTTGAGGGTGGTGTGCTTGATTTGTCTTAGCTAGGTGAGCTCAGGCCTGATGTAAGAGAGAGAAGAGCCACAGAGGGCCTGTAATCACAGTGTTCACATCAGGCATTTGCTGTGGGAGAGGCAGGCCACTCGGGGTGTGGGCCGTGGAGGCTACGTCGCTGCAGCTCATGGCTCTGGTTAGTATCAGAACTGCTTGAGTTCTCCATGCAAAGTTTTGAAATGTAGCCCACCTTGATCAGAAACTCTGGGAAGCGGGCCTGGAAATCTGCATTGTTTCAATCTTCCGGGTGATTGTCACCTGCTCCGCTTCACTTTTGGGCTCCTTGGCATCTCCTGCCATCACGGGCAGCCTGCAGCCCACTGTGCCCATGAGCTCCAAGCACCCTCTGTACCCACAGGCAGCTAGTATTCTTCAGTCTGACACCCCCACCTAAGCTAGTTCTGTGACTGCAGCCAGCTTCTCCAGTTCCTGCTGGACACACACACATACACACACACACACACACACACACACACACACACACACTCCAGACTTCTCAGATCACCTTGTCTTGTATTCTAACACTGCTAGATACCTTTAGTTTGGGAGAGAAGTAGTTTAAATAAAATGAAATCCTTTTAATTTTTAAATACAGTAGCTATAGGCTGATAAGCAGTTAATAAATGGTGTTTTTTTATTTTTTAGTTGTCATATCCCCACTTAGACCCCAACTGTGTCAGAAGTCTCCACAGCTATTCTTAGGCATCCTCCAGTGACAAAGAGGGCAATGAGATGCGCTCACAGGATAGCAAACTGAACTTCCTAGGGTGATACCCCACTTCCATAAGGAATGGCAGCAGGCAGGTGGTGCTACATGGACCCCTCGGAGTCCTGCTCTATCAAGGTCTTGTCCTACTGCCTAGCCTGTGCCTACTGCCTACTCCTACTGCCTAGCCTGTGTCTCCTCCAGTCTACCAGACACCTTCCATTCCCAGGCCTCAGCACCGTCTCCTCAGTTTACACCCTCGAGACAGACCCTTGGTACCTGTGGGCTGCCCTGTGTTCCTGACTGGTTGGCTCTGCAGAACTAGGCCTTCTTCATCCAGACCTCGCCGGTCTGGTTCCCCAGCTTATCTTTGACCATTATGGGAAAAACTTGTGTTCATTTTAAAGATGTGCTAAGAAGGCTTTCCTCACATAAAGCAATGTTCCCCAGCCTCAGTAACAACAGCAAACCTAAATACAGGTTCCATGTACACTAGGTCGATCAGCGATGTCTAGGTAGGATGCCCACCTAAGGTGCCGTGAGGGACAACCGAGCTTCCCGGTGACTCCGTGCCAGCTTTGCAAATTCTCCTAAGTTCGTTCCGTTCTGAAGAAATTTACCAACACCCCCATTCACGGGGCAATCTGCAGAGGGAACACCTTGTTCCAAGTTCATGATTCCAGACTATGGTTAATTAATTCTTCAGCTGTAGCTGAAAGCAAAGTAAAGGAATTTGAAGGCCAAGGCTCTGATTTCTCCTCCCTCCTCTTTTGAAATGAGCCTCATGCATGTGCCTGCTGGAGATGGTGAACAGGGGTGACGGTGAGCAGGGGTGATGGTGAGCAGGGGTGA